TAATAAACATCAAAACAACAAGCACGTTCCATCAATCATCAATCCAAAAACAACAACACAGCTCTAACTTTGCAAATTAACAATCACCACATTTAAACCTATTATACTCAACCAATCATTCAACCAATCAATTACTACTACCACGTATTATCCACTATCAAGGATATATGTTATTATCACAATTATATATTTTGGATAGTAGTCTGATCAATTGATACAGTATATTTTTCAATATACTCAAATAGAATAGAACTATCAGAGTGGCACACCAAATAAGCATTCTTAATTATATAATTAATATTACTATCATATATTCAAATAACCAACCAACCAATTAACCATCATCACTATGTACCAGCAACTATCAAGAAGACATATCATCATTACTACTATATACTTTGGACAGTAGCCTGGCCAATTGATACAATATATTTTTCAATATATTTAAACAGAATAGAACTATCAAAGTGGCACGCCAAATAGGCATTCTTAGTTATATAACTAGTTTTATTATATTTCTCACTTGTATAGCATCAAACATAGAATTTTTTTTTTCTCTTTTTTTTCTTTCAATTTTTTTTTACTTTCCATTTTATTTACATCCAACAAAAAATTCCAAGTAAGTAAGCATAGCTACTACTCAGCTATATTTAGCATATATAATATTGTTTTAAAATTTCTTTTTGATATTAGCTAGGTATATGTATATGTGTAGACAGGCTAGCATTTAACTTGTTATATGCTTTTTGCTCCAAGAGATATTGTTTCTTTTACTATATATATCTATTAATATACAAATAAATAAAGAAATGATGTTTCATATCACCATACCTACTGGTAAAGCCATGTCTCTTTGGACCTACTCAAAAAACAATCAACACTATCTAGCCAACACCTCTGAAGAAATAATAGAACAGCTGCAAGCACGCCCTGAAGCTAACACCACCCCCACCGTCATGATTAACAATAATCTATCTGGCAAAGATACCACCCAATTAAATGTAAATATGATAGAAGATATTAAGCAGTTGATAGCGAACATCTGTCCTTTCCCAATAATAGACCTAACAACAAAAGATAATTTGGTCCTCATAGAAAATAAAAAAATCAACTTAGCACTGCACTCAGTCCATAACCGACCTATCAACATACTGCTAACGATCATAAGACTTCTAGCAGCTATTAAAGAACAGACTTATATAACCATCAATATTCCATTTGTACTACTACTAGACATCCCAAGCTACCTCAACCAAAGAATCAAAGTCTCATATAGTCACCTAATTAACTGTATTAACGAGCTCTGCACTACGAAAGAGATCAGACTAATCCTATGTAAGCAAACCAGCACCCTGGTATTTCAGGAAAGCGACAACATCATCTCAATTGACAATATCCTAGCAGTCGATAACTACATAACTAGCCCAAGAATTA